AAAAGAAGAACAAACAAAGTGGCCGTCTACAATTCCAAGAGCCTTTTTTTAAGATGAATGAATGAATGAATGAATCCAGAAGGCCAAACCACTGGGTTTTTCTCTGCAGTTTATAAAAGTTCTTGGTGGGTTTGTGGAGCCTACAAAGGTTATAAACTTGGTCAGATCCGTGGCCTGGGACCCTTCATTTTTTTTAAAAAATTTCTTGGCCTCCCCTTCAAGCGGTGTGTGTACCTTTGCTTTCAGACCCAAAAATTCTCCATCTCTCTCAGAAACAGTGAGACTTTGTTGTTTAGAGAGAGAATAGAGGGGGCGAGTGGGGTTATTCTGTTAGCATTTTAGAGGGAGTGTTTGTCTAATATCAGAAGGCCAGGGGTCAGCAGCCACTTGGATTTTCTTTTTTCTTCCTCTGAAAAAGGTTACCCAATACTTCCCTTTCTTTTCTTCTCTGCAAACAAGTTTTCCTATCCCATTCTGCAAATGCCTCTTTCTTAAATCTATGTGAAAACACTAAGACTTCATTCTAAATTCTAACACAAAACTCTCCTCTTATCCCTTTTCAACATTCATTCACCTTTCTTTTTACTGTTCCAATGCTTGCTTGCTTGCTTGATTGTGTTCTAGGCTCTTGGAATCACTTCTTGCAGCTTTTGGTGTCTGTTTGGATTCCTGGAATTTGAACTCTATTCAGTTTTTGTGCTCTGTTCTTTTCATTTCATTGATGAGTTTATGAATCTAGAGGGCATAAGATCGAATGCCCATGTGAAAACTTTCCAGATTTGAAGTCCAGTGAGTAATCAGATCTGAGTATGTTCATCTTTATTTCTATAATTATTGTGTTTTGAGCTGTTTGGTTGAGATATGGGCTTTCTGCTTGAAAATTTCTGGTTTTTCTTTTTTTCCTGTAATGTCTCTTTTAGATCTTGAATGCCATTAAATTTGCCTGCCCATTTGTTTGATGCCATTAAAGATAGTGCTGCAAATGAATTCATTCTTTGTTTTTTGTATTTTGTTTTTCAAAAGGGTGTCACATTCAGAATGCAAGTTTTAGATTTTGTGTAATGAGTTAAAGAATGAGCTTTTGTGGATATGGACGTTGGAGAAGAAAGCTCCCGGTTTGGGTCCTTGCCTGCTACAACTTCTAGAAATTTGTCGTCGTCGTCTTCGACGTTCTTTTCAGCACTTCCTTCGCCGTTCTTTTCTCCACGGTCATCGACATGTCGAAGGTCAGAAGCAACAAAGGGTGACATGGGATGTGAAAGCATGGACTTCAGAGTTGATCCGGTAAACTCAAGTGTGGTGGTGCCAGATTCTGAATCTTTGTTGAAAGCTAAATTTGCAGTTTCGGATTTGATTCGAAATCCAGAAACGTGTACTCCGGGTGATTGTCGGAAGCTCGATCAGGCTTCGTCGTCAACTGGTGTATCTGGAAGTACTCCTTATAGTAGAAGCCTTCCTCATGGAAATAACTATTTGAGGCCTAGAGAAATGTACAAAAAGCTTAGCAGAAGTAACTTTACTTCTTACGCAGCCGATCCGATTTCGATTTCCTCGACTAGACTAAGGAGTTATGACGTTTTCATAGGTTTGCACGGTTCCAAGCCTTCATTGCTGCGGTTTGCTAATTGGCTTCAAGCAGAGATGGAGGTTCATGGGATGAGTTGCTTTGTGTCTGATAGAGCAAAATGTAGGAATTCTCGCAAGCATCGAGTCATTGAGAGGGCGATGGATGCATCCTCGTTCGGAGTTGTGATTCTAACAAAGAAGTCGTTCCAGAATCCTTACACCATCGAGGAGCTGCGGTTTTTTTCTGGTAAGAAGAACTTGGTTCCAATATTTTTTGACTTGAGTCCAGGAGATTGTCTTGCCAGAGACATTGTGGAGAAAAGGGGAGATTTGTGGGAAAAACATGGTGGTGACTTGTGGATTCTGTATGGAGGATTGGAGAAGGAATGGAAAGAAGCCATCAAAGGGCTTTGTCGGGTCGACGAGTGGAAATTCGAAGCTCAGAATGGTAACTGGAGGGACTGCATACTGAAAGCCGTTATGCTACTTGCAATGAGGTTGGGAAGACGAAGCATTGTCGAGCGCTTGACGAAATGGAGGGAGAAGGTAGAGAAAGAAGAGTTCCCTTTCCCCCGAAACGAGAATTTCGTAGGCAGGAAGAAAGAATTATCAGAGCTAGAGTTCATACTTTTTGGCAATATAGCTGGTGATTCCGAAAGAGATTACTTCGAACTTATAGCTCGACCGAGACGAAAGAATCTGACCCTTGGCTGCAGTAAAAGCAGCTCACTTGAAGAGAAACAGCACCAACAAGCAGTAGAAACACGAAACAAGAAGGGTAAAGAACCTATTGTGTGGAAGGAGTCCGAAAAAGAGATCGAAATGCAAAGCATTGAGTTTCCTCAGCGGCATCGACGACTGAAGACAAAAAGTGGCGAAAGGTATGCCAAGAGAAAGAAAACAGCCAAAATTTTGTACGGAAAAGGTATAGCTTGTGTTTCGGGGGACTCGGGAATCGGTAAGACCGAGCTTCTTTTAGAATTCGCGTATCGACATCACCAAAAGTACAAGATGGTTTTATGGATTGGAGGTGAAAGCAGATATATCAGGCAGAATTATCTGAACTTAGGTTCCTTCCTAGAAGTTGATGTAGGATTTGGAAGCTTTTCAGCTAAAAGCAAGATCAAGAATTTTGAGGAGCAGGAAGAGGCAGCCATTTCAAGAATTCGTACAGAGCTGATGAGAAACGTTCCGTTTTTGCTGATAATCGATAATTTAGAGTGCGAAAAGGATTGGTGGGATCACAAACTTGTGATGGATCTTCTCCCTCGTTTTGGTGGCGAGACGCATATCATAATATCCACTCGACTTCCTCGTGTAATGAATTTGGAACCGTTGAAACTGTCTTACTTGTCGGGGGCTGAAGCAATGTGTTTAATGCAAGGAAGCGTTCGAGACTACTCGATTGCAGAGATCGATGTTTTGAGAATGATCGAAGAGAAAGTTGGAAGGTTAACGTTAGGCCTTGCGATAATTGGTGCGATCTTATCTGAGCTTCCCATAACACCAACTAGATTGTTGGATACAACCAATAGAATGCCTGTCAAAGATCAATCATGGAGTGGTAGAGAAGCTCATGTTTTCCGACGCAATACGTTCCTTATGCAGCTTTTCGAAGTGTGTTTCTCCATTTTCGACCATGCCGAGGGGCCACGGAGCTTGGCAACTAGAATGGCTCTAGCGAGTGGTTGGTTCGGTCCTGCTGCTATTCCCATTTCGCAATTAGCCCTTGCAGCTCACAAGATACCCGAAAAGCGACAGCGAACGAGGTTATGGAAGAAGTTGTTACGTTCCATGGCTTGTGGTATTACTTCATCTTACTTGAAAAAGTCAGAAGCGGAAGCAACTTCCATGCTGTTAAGGTTCAATATGGCAAGAAGCAGTGCCAAACAGGGATGTCTACAATTCAATGATCTCGTAAAGCTATATGCACGCAAGAGAGGCGTGGACGGAGTTGCACAAGCGATGGTTCAAGCTGTCATGACGCGCCCCTCGATCATTCATCACTCCGAACATTTGTGGGCAGCTTGTTTCTTGCTCTTCGGGTTCGGTCGGGACCCTGTAGTCGTCGAACTCAAAGTCTCGGAGCTATTGTATGTCATAAAAGGAGTGGTCTTGCCGCTGGCCGTGAGGACATTTCTCACATTCTCCCAATGCACCACTGCGTTGGAACTTCTCCGGCTATGCACAAACGCATTAGAAGCTGCCGATCAAGCCTTCGTCACACCGGTCGAGAAGTGGTTCGATAAGTCACTTTGCTGGAGGCCAGTTCAGACAACTGCACAGCTGAATCCTTATCTTTGGCAGGAGCTAGCTCTGTGCAGAGCAACACTATTAGAAACCCGAGCGAGGCTAATGCTAAGAGGGGGACAATTCGACATCGGGGACGATCTAATCCGAAAGGCCATCTTCATCAGAACTTCGATATCAGGCGAGGATCATCCAGATACAAAATCCGCTCGAGAAACTCTCAGTAAACTCAATAGGCTTATTGCTAATTTCCATATTCATTCTCCTCCATAGGTTCAATAATTTTGTTTATTAGGTAAAGTTTTTAGTAGCTAGATTGATTATATACCAGAATGTCAAATAAACCAGTGTATACTTTCCCAGCAAATTCTTTAATACCAATCTAACCCCGACTTAGATTTCTCCATTGTCGTGTTTTCCGTTCAACCACATCGAGCCAACACCCTTGAATCTTGGCTCGTCTACGTTTCGGTTTCGTGCACTCTGTTTCGATATATATATATATATTTTTTTTGGTGTTAATATTGTTCAACTCATCTTAGAACACTGAATTTTGATTTGCTTCCCTCTTCAAAGCTTTATACTAAGTATATTCAGCCTAAAAAAAAGAATTGAAAACTCAAAAAATGCCCTCACGCAGGATCGAACTACGGACCTTCAGTTTACAAGACTGACGCTCTACCACTGAGCTATAAGGGCTGTTTTGATAAATTGTGTTGTTTTAAAAATAAATTAAAAAATAAATTGTCCCAAAAGCATTATTTATTCCGCAGAAACTTAATATTTATAAGGTTTTATCAGAACGAAATTTTAATTTCTAAAATAATAAATATTAAATTCTAATTTTCTCAAAACTGAAAATTAATTCATTGACACAAAAGTCATCCAAATAATTACAGATGGGATATCTTAAGCACTTTAGGCCATCCATTTGCTTCAATCATATTATTTCCCTATTAAACATGGTCCGGTTGGTACGTACTGTAAATCAAAACCGAATATAACACAACACAACACGACCGGGGCTTTCGAAATACCCAAGTACAGTAGCACAAAATTCAGTTTTTAAAATGAATACAGGAGCTTCCAACCGGAGCTTTACTCCATATCCGAACCAACCCGACTCACTTACATCCCTAACGTTGCGTTAGAGATGGAGAGACCGTGAAACTGTTGAGAAAAAGGAGAAAACCCAAGAGAATTGGTTTATAGATTAAATGGTAAATGACAATATATGAAACATTATATCATAGTTTGATTAATGTACACAACAACTATCATGAAAATAAGAGACAGTAGAGGAGCTAGGAACCTTCTCCATAGCTTTCAATTTTGATGGTAACCCAGTTTTTGAATCATGTACAGAAGAGGGTTGATATGGTTTTCCTTCCAGTCAAGCATCAGCTTGGCCTGCCATCTCCTCATCATCTGAGGAGTACTCATCTTCACTCACCTCTTCATCACTGGATTTCTCCTCACCAACACCTCCAATGTCCTCTGGCTTTGCATATTTCTCACAGTATTCTGTACATATACATACACAACCCAAATGTAAAACAAGAAAAAGAACAGCTGGGACGGGGTTCGTACGTGTCTTGAACTTTGTGTGTCGGGGTGAGGAAGTTAACCGATACGACTAGTATAATATGCCTACTAAGTTTATAACCATTAGATGTATAATCATCATCACAGATGCAGAACACAAAAGCCCACCGCTAGCAGATATTATCCTCTCTAGGCTTTCTCTTTCAGGTTTTCCCTCAAGGTTTTTAAAACGAGTTTGCTAAAGAGAGGTTTCTGCATCCTTATAAAGAATGTTTCGTTCTCCTTTCCAATCGGTGTGATCGAGATCACACGGGCACAATGGTGACCGCCACTAAAATCTGAATTTGTCTACAATGAAGTTCAGGGCTAGTAAGAAAAGCTTGTAACTACCAAAAAGAAGCTTTGTAATAAGAAACGCTACTAAATCTAGTTTTGTGTTTAGCTTAAACTTAGCTTAAACTACCAAATCTTCAATAGAAGTACCTTTTACTCTTTGCTCATATGCAGCGCGATCACGCATCATTACTGCAGCAGCTTCGCCATTCAACGGGTCCGACGGGTTGGGATACAGGAGAAGTTGTGGAAGAAACACTTCGAAAACATTTACAAGGTCTATACAACAAAAAACACCCGAATTAGATCGCAATTCCTCGGTCGCAGCATTGTAATTCCACAAACAAAAAACCATTGATCACCATGATATAATATATACAACAAAACAGATAACATTAAAACTCTACAAAGATAAGAGTAGGGATGTTTTCCCACCAAACATAGGGCTCCATGTCTGGTTGATAACATCCAAACAAACCGAGCCCGACCTGCGATTCGTAAAACATCCGTATCAGTCAACAATCATCCCCAGAACAAGATAAGACCCTACCCCTATCAAGAACCAATGTAATAAGTTTCAGAGTGTGAGTGATGTCAACTCACATTTCATCAACATTTGGATGATAAATTTTGTTGATGAAGCCAATTGAAGGTGACTTGTAAGGATAAGCATCTGGCAACTCCACCCTAATCCTCCACACACCTCCTTGGTAAAGACCTTCCGATTTCAAACCAAACAAGCAAACAAAGAAAAAGGGATAAGATCAGATAATCCATATAACCCAAAATCATATTGCACAGAACAGTCTATATGAACTGGGATTCATTTGAGAAGGGAAATTCAACAAACGCAGGCAATTAAGAACTAAACAGGTCGATTCAAAGAGAGTTGTTAGGAACCTGAAAAAGGGGAAATCCAGAAGGGCGCAGTAGAAGATGAGGAATTAGTAAAAAAGCAAAGAAAATAGAGAAATCAAAGATGGGTATAGATGATTTACTGTCTTTAGGACCATGGAAGTCGACATAGAACTCTTGCATGCTATCATTGATGGTTTCCACCTTGTAATCACTCATCATCCTGATGTCAAAATCAGCAGAGTCAAAGGGGAAAAAGGAGGAAGAAGAAGCAGAGAAGAATTCAATCGGAAGGCATGGAAGAACTTACAGTTTCATCAAATCCATTTCGCGTCGCTTGCTGGGAGAAGACATGGTTTTGGATTTGGGTTTGAGAGGAAAAGGGTAAGAGAAAGAAGAGATATAGTGATAGGAAGAGAAATGAGGTTTCCTACCCGCAAAAGCGGTTCAGACACGGAAGTAGTGATTCAAGCTCTCTCTATTTTACATCTGTAAATTAATCAAAATGTTGCCAAACATCAAAAACCCAAAAGATCATTTTTTTTTTTTTTTAATTTAACTCATACAACATAAGTTATTACTTTAAATTTATAATTTTTTAATTTTTTAAATTCAAATTTGGTTCATATAATTTGAAAACATGTAATTATAAATTTGTAAGACTTTAATAAGTTATAATATTTTAAGAGAAATAACTAATTTTATTATTACTCATGTAATTATAAATTTGTAAGACTTCAATAAGTTATAATATTTTAAGAGAAATAACTAATTTTATTATTACTTTAAATTTAAATTTAATGTTAATGGTTAGAAAAAGAAGTATATTTAAAAATTATCTTAATTTATCATATAAAATCAATAATTGATTTTCTTCATATATATTTTTTTTTTAAATCTATTTTATCTTATAAAATCAATCATTTTTAATTACCATTAGAGAAAATTATTATGCTTGTAATCAATCATTAGAGAAAACGAATCATTTTATTTAATTTATCTTATAAAATCATTCTGTATTTTTTTTCTTCAAAAAACCATTTTATATATATATATATATATATTTTGAAGGATAGAGCAAAATTTTATGTGGTCACAATCTAAAAAATAAATAAATGTAGACCCATGTGAAGATATTAAAATCTTATCATAGTCCTGAAATTTTATAAATTTCATATTGTTTCGATTAATATAAATTTATATTAATCTCCCGCATTTAAATATATAAATATAGAAATCTATAACTCAATTAAAGGTAAATAAATGGTTAGATCTCTCCATTTTTACCATTAGATTTTACCACAAGTACATAGTTTTATTTCCCTACAAAAAAAAAAAAGAAAAGTTGCTAATCTCGCTCGTAACGTTTTATATTTTCAACAAAGGAAAAAGTAATTGTTATTTAGTTAAAAAGTAAATTATCATCTAACTATTTTTTTCTTAAATTACATGATTGCTTTTTAGGCGGTCACAGTCATTGATATTTACTTTGGACTAAAAAGTCAAAAATTCGAAAAATACCTGCTTCAAATATTATTGAATTAATTAAAAAAATATATAAATTCTAAAAAAATTAAGAAAATAATAGAAATGTTAAATTATCCTAAAAATGTTTTAATTTTACACAAATAAAGAGAAGATTAAAAGAGGACATATAAAAAGAAAATAGGTAAAGAAAAAATTAAACAAACTCATAAAAATAAGTGTGAATTAAATAACTTGTGAGAACATCACTCAATATTATAACAAAAAATGACCAATTCAATCCTCGCAAAATTATTAACATTGAAAATTGAAACTAAATTATTTACCAATTACCAAATAATAATAATAATAAAAGAATTAAAGAAAGCATTGGGAATTTGCCATTATTATAGAAAAAGAAAATCATATTAATGGATAAGGAAGATTTGTCAGACCATAGAGGAGACATGTTCATGAATGGAGACAACAACATAATTAATTTTTAATATTCCCACTTTCCTTTTATTTTATTTTATTTTATTTTATTGCTGTGAACGACCAATCACAGCCGTCTGATTGGAGACGAGTTTTATGATCATTATTTCAAACTTATCTAATTATGTTTATGAAATGTTAATGATTCCATTCATACCTTCACAATTTTTGGATTAAAAAAATAAGCATTTAATACGATTTTCTTTTTCGAATTAAAAAAATATATGAGACAGTAATATTTTAAGATTCACAAATCTAAGTATATTCTCAAAAGCTCTTAAAATCAATCCAATTTCAACCATAGTTTATCCAACACGTCACGTAGTATGCTTGAAATTAAAGCATAACTAAGGCGTCATGTTCACTCCAAGCTTAATATAATTATATTATTTAGCCCAATTATTTCATTCATATTAGCACATCCATAAATATTCAATCAATAGCTTGAATGTATCAATATCAACGGACATTATTTTCTTCAACTAATTGTTTATTATTGATAGTACAACATCATCATTCAATTGTCACTGCATAGAATTAATAAATAAACACAAACATCTAAACTAACCTATTTCCAAATCATTATCAAAGCATATTGTTAAGGTATTTTGACAAATTAGAAGAACAAAAGAGGAATCAAGATTGAAAAACGAAGTATAATCATTGCATCAACGACCCAGATTCGTTTACGAGAAAATGATGAAGTACTCTTCTTTTTTCTTCATTTTAATTCCATTTATGACAATCATAACCTCTAATAAATGGAAGTAAAATGAAAAAAAAACCAAGCTCAGATATACTATATTGCACACACTGTATTTACATTCTCCCACTACTCCCACCCAAAATAAAAAAGAAACAAAAGAAAGAAGAATCATTCTCCCAATTTTCCCCACATTCTATGTTCAGAGAACAAATTCACAGAGAAAATGCAACGGGAATGAGCAATTCATTAAGTAAAAAGAAAAGGGAAAGCAACTAAAAGAAACCTGAAGCTGCCAGCTGAAGCAAAATCACAAGAACTTCATAATCTATACTTTCAACTTTACTTCAATCTGAGAAAACACTTGGCTGATTTTCTTGTTGTTACTAATCAATTGGAGGGCTAAAAACCATTTCCTGCATTTAAGGGGGAGATGATTAGGAGAGGGAAAAAAAAATCTTCTTAAAGCGTTATGAACTAATGAGTATGAGTGACAAACGATAAAACATAAACTGAGAGCCTGAGACACACCTGATCACACACAGGGCAGATATCACTTCTTTCCATCCATTCCAGAATGCATGCAAGATGAAAATGATGCTCGCATTTTGTCGTGAGTTTTGGATTCTCCCCATCATATTCTGCATAAAACAATGGAAAGTGATGAATTGAAAGGGAAAGGAACTGTGCAGCCACTGAGAAAGCGATAACCTGGTGACTTGTTAGTTCAAGCAATTAAAATGTCAAACATTGGCTATAGAGATGAGGGGTTTGAAAAAAAAAATCCACGGTTTGGTGAGTTGGTATTGTGCAGCTTAACTAAGGTTTAGCAAAACTTCACCTTCCAAACAGATGGGACAAACATCCTCCTCTTCCACAGGTATGACCACAGATTCTACACCCTTTGAGAGTCCAATTTCAGATTCCTTTAACGTGTGTTTCTTGCAGTCTGATTCATCGATGGCATCACATTTGGCTGAAGTTTCCCGTGTGTTTATGCATGCTGTTTCTTGAATTACATCAGTATTTGGAGTCTGAGCGGTAGCTTCATTCTTATTGCTGACAATTTCTTGAGCCGCAGGAGGAGTATGTGGGTGTGTTAAAACAACATCATATGGGATAGGCAAAGGGGGTGATCTATAAGTGTCCGGAATTGATGTGTCCAGATTTGTATCAACCAAAATCCCCGTTGGAAATGCTGGGGTAGCACTAAGTGGAGATGACAAGGGAACATGCTCCTCCGATGCTCTTGGGTACTGCAGCAAAAGTTCAAAACATAGATTTAAGTAAATTGAGATTTGAGCAAGGAAGTTGATGATGGGAAGAAAATTCTTTCCACTATCATGTTAACAGTTGAGCATAAAATTCAATCAGCTCCAAGAATAAATAACAGAAATGGCAGTCTTGAGTGTATGGAACGTTTCTCATATTCACGATTTACTCACGGCGTAGTACACAAGCATCTCCTATGATCACAAGCAATCTAAGTTGATACATGCTAAGGCAGAAGATTTTTTTGGAAAACACACCGATGCTGAATTAACCAAAAGGTACTTGAATAAAGAAACTTCGTCTCTCGCACTGCAACCAGTTTCAGATTGGGGCCGCAAACTATGAAAATTATGTTAATTATCTCATAGGCTATATCGGAATACCTACAACTATATGCAATTAGACATGTTGACAATGATAATAAATAAATGAACGAACACTAAACAATGGCTGCATAGTTTTTGCTAGCAAAGAAAGAATTTGATTGATAAAAATATGACAATAAACATCAAATGAAAAATTCAATACTGACATAATAGTAGCCTGGTGTAATATTTGATTCTGTTCCTCTTGAGGAACAACAGCAGCAACCTCCCATTTCAGTTTTCTTTTCTACACAACTCGCCAAAAATCCATCGGAACTAGTTGCAATATGCCCTCAAAATTTTGGAGAATGTTAACCCTGTTAAAGAAAACAGGCTCAAATCAATTTAACTGCATTAGAAGCTATGCCAAAGTTCGCTAGTGAATATGATATAAAAGAAAATTACATAATATGATGTGAGAATCATAGATCAACAAAGCTAGCAGCAAATATGATGTAATAATCATAGAAGTGGCAAAAGAGGAACGAAGTAATCCTAAAGAACCAGTATAGACAGACCGGAGTCAATACAATCAAGAACTCAATCAATAACACGATAACATCAAAGTAACAAGAAGCCGAAAAATTCGGATTCTCTAGCAAAAACTGATAAAATAAACATCGAAGTTAACCTACAGAGAATCCAAAAATTACCTCAGCTACACAGAACCAATAAGAACAACCAAAAAAAAAACTCACAACACGAGGTTCTGATCAAGCAGCGATAATCAGAACCAATTCGAAAGCAAAAGAGATACATAGTCCAGGAACTAGAATCTTACCGTTTCACGCCGAGAACTCGATCGATTGGTAAGAATCGAAAAAAGCGATTGAGAATTCAATTCAAATGGAACAAAAGGGAGACACAGGATGTGTACTCCTTTTCAAAGCCCTCTTCTTCCCCTTCAGACTATGGCAGGAAAGCAGAGAAGGCCAAGAAAGCTTCCCTCTCTTTTTTCTTTCTCTGTAGAGAGAGAAAGAATGGTTGGTTTGGTTTCGTGCGCGAGTACGACTTTCCACTGAGTATAAAGGTCAGGAAGAATCAAAAGTAAAGCAAAAAAAAAAAAAAAAAAAA